AATATTCTGGTTGCTTTCCTCGGGGGGGTGCGCTCTCCTCCTGTCAAATAAACAATATTTCATGAATTGTACAATTACAATTTATCTACAACTTGTCAACATGAAGGTTAAAAGAGATAGATAGAATGAAAAAAAGCAATCAAACCATTGGTACATTAATCAATGATGTAATTCAACCTTTGGTGTAGCTATTTTTACTTCCAGCATTGATTTCCAAGAAAGTTCTCAGCAGCCATCGCAGTCTGCAAAAGTTGAAACATAAGGCATAAGAAATTTTTAATACTACATCTCCAATCACACAGCAAAGAATAGACAATGTATTCAAGAAAACTCAGATATTGCACTTACTTGGCATCTTCTGCCGATGCCAGTACATAGCCAAAACCGAGATCGTCCAGTTGACCGATCCTAAAGCATAAAAATAAATAAGAAAAATCAACATTAATATATTTTTTTAACACTTTGGCCCAAATCCATGAACAAGACCACAATTGTCGTCCAAAGTTCACATCAAATATAATGTTCAGCAGAAAACTGAAAATGGGGAAGGGATTAGCCAAACTTATCTATTAACCAAACAAAATGGTTAGTGAATAGAATGCAGACGATAGCATTAATAAAGCAAAAACTAAGAACATAAGTGCTCGTCAAAATTTTCCGTAATTGATCACACAAAAGCAATTTAGCAAAAAAAACTTTTGATTTTTGTTAATTAAAAAAAAGTCAATCCTTCATGCGTATTATACTACTTGTAATTAGAATCTGAACTCGAGTTTCCTGGTTCCCTAATGATATATGGTTCGATAAGAACCGTTTCAATGTCAATTTCGTTAAAGAATCTATGGGCTAAAAATAAAAAATTAAAAAATTAAAGAAATAGAAAGGATCAAATAAAAGAGAAACCTTCAGACAATGCAATCCTCCAAATCCCCAAACTTGGTCATGTACTCTCTTAAACCATCCGTATCAACGTCCCATGGAATCGAGAACCTAAATTGCAAATAACACAAAACAAATTAAATAAAGATACTAATTAAAAAAATAAATATAATGCAGATAGAGGGAAAAACTAACCACAAGCTTTCGATCCGTGGCCATGATAAAGGAAACCAGGGGCGGCAACAAAAGCCCTACCATCAAAAATCTCAAAAATCTTCTCTACCTCTCTTCACACACTCGTCTCCTGCACATGTAAACCAGACCTCTTTCACACACGCCATCATCTCAAAGACCAAATTACGAAACTCACCATTTTGTTTCCTCCAAATTATCAAAACTATCACGTAATTAATAGAACAATCAATCAATTCATTCAATCAAAAATCTGGAATTGCGCGCTCACTGACCTTTTCTGAATCTCGTGGTTATCTCTCTCTCTCTCTTTCTCTCTACAGTCCTACCTCTCCTAGCTGCTTGTCGTCCCACTTCGTGCCTGCCTTCTCTTTCATGGGTTACTTTTATCTTTTATTATGCTTTCTGGGGGGTCGGCTATCCGGGTCCAGGTTTGGACTATTTAAGTTCGTCTTTTTTTTCGCTTTTATTCAGAAAACTAAATATATTATTCATTTCTCTTTTTAAATAAATAATTATTAAAAAATAAAAATTAATTTTCTATTTTATGGCGATGTCTTTCTATTTATTGCAAAAATACGATAAAAACTACTTTTTCACTTTAAATCGGTTCTATTATTAGCACGTTTTCAAATTTTGATATCATAATTAAAATCAAATCTTTCATCTTCATAACAATTTCATTCTAAATTATTAAAAACCACGAATTTAAAAAAGTTTCTCAATGATAATTTTTATCATATGTATATTTACTATTAATAATATATTAATTAATGATAAGATGATAAATTCTTATGTATTCTAAAATTATAAAAATTTCAAAAAATAGAATTACAAGTGAAGTTGGTGGGCTGAAGGTTCATTAAAACACAATCCATTTAAGAGCATCTTTAATAGTTCTTTGTTTTAAAGAGATTTCATATAAATAAAAAATATCTTCATTAATTTTAAATAAAGAACAAATTTTTATTCAAATCAATGGATTCTTTAAATTTATAAAGGTAAGGTTTAGGATAGACTGAAAGTTCTTTAAAACCAACCCATTTAAAGAGTATCTTTAATGATGTTCTTTATTTTAAAGAGCACATTTCATAAATAAGAGTCATTCATTAATTTTTAAATATATAAGAACAAATTTTTTATTCAAATCAATGGATTCTTTAAATTAATGAAGATGCTTTTATTTTCAAGAAAGAGACTTATTAAGAGAGAAATTAACAAATAAAATGTATGAAAACTTGTAGTTTATTAATTAAAATTAGGATAGAAAGTGAAATTTGACTCTCTAGATATGGAGAGTTAAACTCACTTTTTAATTTATATTTAAAGATAAAGAGTCTGTTGAACTCTTGTTTTTAGGATAAACTCTATAGACTCTTTATAATAAAGAGTTTGTGTCATATAAAGAGTCAATGGTCTTATCACATTCCTTTATTTTATTCCTTTTCTCATGCCCAGGATTCCATTAATAAGAAAAATGCATTCAATAACAGATATTTGTCATATCACACGCAAGGCATTGAATATCACATAGTTAAATTAAGAGTTAACGACTTTTTCCCACCCAACAAAAAGCTTAATGACATGTCCCACCCTCACACTTTTAAAATACACTTTTACTACCCAAATATTATGTTTCTCATAGGTTTAGGTGGGAAAGACAATAATTTATGAAAAAACCCCTCTGTGGTCTGCACCTTCCTTTTGCCAGAAAATAGTCTCCTTGTGGTTCACGTTTTCTTCCTTCTTTGCGGCCAATTTTCGACCGTTTTTCTCACTAAAAATTTACCCGAAAGCCACCACTCAAACCTCCTTCATCCCCATTACAAAACCAACCCTCCCATCGGTTGCCCTCACTAACCGTTTGCCGCCCTCAACCCACTCTCTCCGCCATGCTACAGTTTTTTTTGCACCCCTTTTCCACTGTTTTTTCTCCTTTCTTGTGCCCCCAACCTACACTTGGTTGCTTAATTGTGGTTGTTGTGTATTATTTGGCCACCGGTTTGCCCCCACCCGCCTCCCCATTTTACGCCCACCAGTTGTTTGAGGAAATTCCTCAACCAACCTCTCCAGCCAAGTGTGTGCACACGACAGGGACGATTGGTGGTGACACGTTAGGACATTTGGAGAGGAAGATCCAAGGAGTCAATTGGTGGTGATAGGGACGATTTCTGATAATGAAATCGACTAGAAAAGCACATTGTTGGTTCGCATGATTCTTTCCATTTTTCGGCCGATTATGACGTCGAAAATACCTTTTGAGACCACCAATCAACTCACTAGCCCCCCCATCTCCAGAATCCCTAACCTTCCCGACACCAATTGCATGCCGTTCTGACTCTCCACCAGCTAAGGTTTCACTGTTTTTGCGCCAATTCCACCTGATTTCGGTGACCAAAATCCAATCTTCCACCACACTTTCAACCTCCGATCTTCCCTCTTCAAAACCCCTCGAACATCAATACTTGATTACTCGTCATTCGTTGGTCTTAAATTGCTACCCTCCACTGTTCGTTGTCTTCTAGAATTTTAGGCCCCGTTTGGTTTACTTTTTTGCAGTTTTTAGAAAAGTTTTTTGAAAAAAGTTAAAAAAAGTTGAATTGAGCGGGTATTACGATGTAGGATTTGAAAATTAATAAAAATACCCCATATGTTTGTTTATTTACTAAACACCCCTATAATAAAACTTTGAAAGTTAACAAAAAAACCCCAACCCACCCATTGAATAATCACAGCCGGCCACCACCGCCGAAGGGTGGCCGGAGTCACTGTATCGGCGCATGACCGGTTGGATCTTGCCAGTCGTGCGCCGATATGGCCTTTGCCGACCAGATCTACGATGGATCTGGCATGCAAAGGCTAGATCTATGGTTAGATCTGGCCATTGATGGTCAGATCTAACCGCATTTGCTTGTCAACGACGACCATATGTTCGCTGTCGTTGACGTCTGGTTACGGCCAAAGATCTGGCCGTCAGCGGCCAGATCTTTGGCCTTAGATCTGACCTTTTCCAGCCAGATCCACTGTGGATCTGGCCGGAAAAGGCTAGATCGGCGCACTACTGGCCAGATTTAGCCGGTAGTGCGCCATTATATTAGATTTCGGCCAACTTCCGACAATGATGGTTGGAATCTGGTATAATGTGGGTTTAGGGGTGTTTTTACAATTTCAAAAAAAATATTTAGGGGTATTTAATTAAATTAACAAATTTAAGAGGTTTAAAAAAGGTTGAATAATATTGGATAATATTGTGAGTTTTTAGGCATTTTACTATTTAACTTTTTTAGGAATACTGATAATAGTATTCCCAAAAACCAACCAAACGGAGCCTTAAATTTTGATTTCATATGTAAAATGTTTGTTGACTATTCTACCCTCACTTATTACAGACTTTTGACCATTTTACCCTTCCTTACAATGAAAATTATTAATAAAATTGTGTTTTAGGTACTAAATTGATATTTTAAAAGTGTAAGGGTGGAAAATTGTCATTAAGCTTTTGTTCGCGTGGGAAAAAGTCATGACCTCGTTAAATCGAGCTTCACAAAATTGAGTGCATAAACTAATGACAGGTTTTAACCTTGAATCAAGTGAATGACCCAGAGACAAGAAGAATACACCGGACCGGACAATTTAATCAAAGATCTATACTTGACCAGTATAAAACGATTTCATATCTACGACTATGCAACACCCGACACAGCATGCATCACCATGAATCCATGCCCAGGGCCAAGACCCATCTCGGTTGGTCAAGGTTTTTACACAATAAGTCGGGGATCCATAGAGCTATCCAGGCGAGGCACCTGTCTATAGCTGAGAAAGAGGGGCTCGAAGAAACCTCCTCAAGCACAACGGAATTACATAGCATCAAATGTTTTTATGCTTTTAGAATCAATAGGAGCACAAGCTACGAAGTAAATATTACATAAATTAATTCCTGTCCAAACTACATTTCCATCCAAATTTAACACAATAAGCAGTTTAAAATTTGATAAAAATACGAAAGTTCAGATGTTGATACATAAAAATAATTCATAACTTTATTCTTTAGAAATAAAAAATCAACCAAATAATCACCCTAACAACACAGATTTGCTCATTTGACAAAAGCCTCTTATGTTAAAACCAAAGCATGATTGGAGACAATTAGGCTAGAACTTAGTATGGCCTATATCTCCAATCTCCTCTTGATGGTCTTCCACCGCCAATCCCATAACCCCACTGCAAAATGAATAAATGAATTGGTAACAGAATGCTGAATGTCATAATAACAAAATTTGGGTTTTAATAAAATACTCAGGAAGCACCTAATGCCTCATTTTTTTCTCTTAAAAGTGGCACTCTAGTAATCATGGTTCATTGTCCATCGTGGTATAACAAGCTTCATATGATTTCTTTTTTATATGAAACCAAGATATATATAAAAAGAACGAACTAACTTTACTCACATCATCAAAATCAAGGCTTCCATACATCCTGCCATAAGTCCGCATAGGACCACCGTAACCCCCAAAGACTTGAGCACCATTAATTAAGAAGTTTTCACTGGGGCCGGGGCCAGCATCATCCAGAGGTGTGGCTGAATCTATTGCAACCTGTTCATGCAGTCAATGAATGAAAAAATTAAAAAATTGCCAACAAAATTATCTTTATCTCAGTAGTTAAATACAAAACAAAACTATCCATTTGATACCTGCTGTCCACAAATTTCATGCGACCTTCGAGATACACGATCTGCTACACCATCTTCGGCAAAGGTCACAAAACCAAAACCTCTGTGGCCAGTTCTCTTAGGGTCCTAAATGACATAACACATCTGTTCATAAGTTGACTAGATCCATACTTAATAACTCTTACAGATCATACATTGCTGTCTTACCTTGGGGACATAAACATCTAATATCTGGCCAAATCTACCAAAATACTGTCGCAGATCTTCAACCGTGGCCTCTTGAGGCAGCCTGCCAACAAAAATCTTTTTACCCATTCCACGGGTGGACTCCCCTCCTGGTCCAACACAACTTAAAAATTACAACATGAAATGCAAAAGAAGAGAAAATATTGATCTGATTTTGTTTTTTCACTTTCATTGTTCATGGTATGCTTTTGTCTTGCCTAATTGTTCTTCATCTTCTTTATATATGCATGTGATGTTTAAGTGCGTGTGCATTGTGATATTTACGGATAGGAAACTACATAAATAAATGGCACTCTGTTCAATAGTGCACAAGATTTATCAAAAAAAGGAGCTTACTTCCATAAAATGAGCCTGGATGGTCATATAAGGTAGGAGCACCTAACGTTGCATATCTAGTTGTGGCAGAAATGTAAGCATTGTACGCACCATACCCACCATGTGACATTCTACCTACTGGCCTAAAGTCATCTTCCTGAAAATGTAATATCAGAGAATCAGTTTTAACTATCACTTATAACATTGATTGGGGACGAGATATAGGAAGTTAAATTATGATATTATTGGTCTTATAGAAGAAAAGTTCAATTATAACCTAAAACTGAAGGGATTTTCCATCTAGCAGAAAAGATTAATAAGTACATCAGTAGTAAACAGGCCAGATGTGATGCCACTTGCCTTAGGTGTTGCTCGATCAACAACTACAACAGAGCCTCCCATTTCATGGGTATCAGCCATTAAACTTTCCACAGAATCTGTAACAAAGAAAGACCAGTTTAGACAAAAAATTGTTGTCAAGATCTTGTTGAAAAACAATTCAATAATTTTCAAACAAGAATTTGCCTTTGACCATGGTTTTATCTAAATTGCAACATGTCAAGCAGAAGGGGCAAGAAAGAAAACCAGCTGAAATACATGCCAGCGCCTTTTCTTAAAAGATTAGATTCAGCATAAGTCAAAAGTTCATAACAGTAAAGATAACGATTAAATTAGAGTGCTTCAGTGACTCCAAATACAATTGGGCTACACTTTGTTGCAGCTCTTGCTTGTATACTCTAAATCTACAGTTGAGATAGAGAAAAGGAGATGTATTTACTATTTTCAAAATATTATAGATGGGGACTAACAGTCTTGACCAATCGATATTGTAGCACGAAGAACACTATGAATAATAATTAGTAAATACCTAAAAATCAATATCAGATGGTTCAAATTACAGCTCTTTATTCAACGAGATCTTATACTTAGTCTAAAAACCAGTCTTTTTCTTCGTAACCAAGACAATGTAGTTAATAAACATAATTTTCGATTAACAAAGAAAATGGGAGGAAGGGGAACGATGAAGGGTAGGACATACATTGACAGCATAACACGAAAAAAATGAAGAAAAGGAACCAACATTTATATAAAAGTGTCTGACCTGCACTTGCAAAAGTGATAAATCCAATTCCACGATGTGCTTTTGAGCCTTGATCCTGCAAGATGCATTAAAAACAATCCCATAGATCAATTTCAACCCTAAAAATAATCAAATGCAAGTATATCAGTATATAGGCGCCTATATATTGGTAATTGTCTTTGGACATGCACTAGAAAACATATACTTGTCTGTATGAATACATGCAGGAATACTAGTTATTACATGAACAGATGAAGCTGTATTAGTCACATAATTGTCACAACGGAACACCAGAGCAGAGAGATAGAGGGGGTCACCTTTGGCATGTACAAATCCGTTATGTCGCCGTACTTCTCAAAATGACTGCAAAAGGAAAAATAATATTTTATTTATCATCATTGGTCTGGAAAACCGAGCAAAGAATGAACACCAAAACAACAAGAGAATTACACTAACTTATTTTCTATACATCATATCCAATTACCTACGAAATGTTGCTTCATTCACAGCCGGTGGTATCCTAGCCACAAATATTCTGGTTGCTTTCCTCGGGGGTGCTCGCATCTCCTCCTGTCAAATAAACAATATTTCATGAATTGTACAATTACAATTTACCTACAACTTGTCAACGTGAAGGTTAAAAGAGAATAGAATGAAAAAAAAGACAATCAAACCATAGGTAACATTAATCAATGATGTAATTCAACCTTTGGTGTAGCTATTTTTACTTCCAGCATTCGATTTCCAAGAAAGTTCTCAGCAGCCATCGCAGTCTGCAAAAGTTGAAACATAAGGCATAAGAAATTTTTAATACTACATCTCCAATCACACAGCAAAGAATAGACAATGTATTCAAGAAAACTCAGATATTGCACTTACCTTGGCATCTTCTGCCGATGCAAATGTTACATAGCCAAAACCACGAGATCGTCCAGTTGACCGATCCTAAAGCATAAAAAATAAATAAGAAAAATCAACATTAATAATTTTTTTTAACACTTTGGCCCCCAAAATCCATGAACAAGACCACAATTGTAGTCCAAAGTTCACATCAACTATAATGTTCAGCAGAAAACTGAAAATGGGGAATGGGATTAGCAAACTTATCTATTAACCAAACAAAATGGTCAGTTAATAGAATTGCAGACGATAGCATTAATAAAGCAAAACTAAGAAACATAAGTACTCGTCAAAATTTTCTCAGTAATTGATCACACAAGAGGTAACAAAAGCAAATTTAGCAAAGAAATTATACAACCAAAAACTTTTGATTTTTGTTAATTAAAAAAAAGTTAATCCTTCATGCGTATTATACTACATGTAATTAGAATCTGAACTCGAGTGTCCTGGTTCCCTAATGATTATATGGTTCGATAAGAACCCGTTTCAATGTCAATTTCGTTAAAGAATCTATGGGCTATAACATAAAAAATTAAAAAATTAAAGAAATAGAAAGGATCAAATAAAAGAGAAACCTTCATGACAATGCAATCCTCCAAATCCCCAAACTTGGTCATGTACTCTCTTAAACCATCCGTATCAACGTCCCATGGAATACCGAGAACCTAAATTGCAAATAACACAACACAAATTAAATAAAGATAATAATTAAAAAAATAAATATAATGCAGATAGAGGGGAAAACTAACCACAAGCTTTCGATCCGTGGCCATGATAAAGGAAAGCAGGGGCGGCAACAAAAGCCCTAACACTCAAAAATCTCAAAAATCTCTCTCTACCTCTCTTCACACACTCGTCTCCTGCACATGTAAACCAGACCTCTTTCTCACACACGCAATTCATCAAAGACCAAATTACGAAACTCACCATTTTGTTTCCTCCAAATTATCAAAACTATCACGTAATTAATAGAACAATCAATCAATTCATTCAATCAAAAATCTTGGAATTGCGCGCTCACTGACCTTTTCTGAATCTCGCGGTTCTCTCTCTCTCTCTCTCTCTCTCTCTCTCTACAGTTCCTACCTCTCTCCCCAGCCTGCTTGTCGTCCCACTCTCGTGCCTGCCTTTGCCTTTCATGGGTTACTTTTTATCTTTTATTATGCTTTCTGGGGCGGGTCGGCTATCCGGGTCCAGGTTTGGACTATTTAAGTTTTCGTTTTATTTTTTCGCTTTTATTCAGAAAACTAAATAATATTTATTCATTTCTCTTTTTTAAATAAATAATTATTAAACAATAAAAATTAATTTTCTATTTTATGACGATGTCTTTTCTATTTATTGCAAGAATACGATAAAAGCTACTTTTTCACTTTAAAATCGGTTCTATTATTAGCACGTTTTCAAATTTCGATATCATAATTAAAATCAAATCTTTCATCTTCATAAACAATTTATTTCTAAATTATTAAAAACCACCTAATATTAAAAAAGTTTCTCAAATAATAATTTTTATCATATTGTATATTATACTATTAATAATATATTAATTTAATGATAAGATGATAAATTCTTATGTATTCTAAAAATTATAAAAATTTCAAAATAATAGGAATTACAACTGAAGTGGGTGGGCTGAAGGGAACCCAACCCTATTTAAAGAGCATCTTTAATTGTGTTCTTTATTTTAAAGAACACATCTCATATAAATAAAGAGTATCTTTATTAATTTTTAAATATAAAGAACTAAATTTTTATTCAAATCCAATGGATTCTTTAAATTTAATGAAGATGTTCTTTATTTTCAAGAAAGAGACTTATTAAGAGAGAAAATTAATAAATAAAATATATGAAAACTTGTAGTTTATTAATTAAAATTATGATAGAGATTGAAATTTGACTCTCTAGATATGAAGAGTCAAACTCACTCTTTAATTTATATTTAAAAGATAAAGAGTATGTTGGACTTTTGTTTTTATGGATAAACTCTATAGACTCTTTATACTAAAGAGTTTAAGTCATATAAAGAGTCATTTGGAGATACTCTAACGATTATATAAAATTTATGAATGAATTGGATTGAGGTGAAGTGTGATGGATAACCACCACTTAGTGGCATGATAATAAAAGAGCAAAGGGTCTAATATAAGTTTTTGAGTTTGAGTCTTTCCAACCACTAATGGAGGTCAGTGGCAGATCCATGATTTTTGCCGAGGGGAAGCCTCTGCAGCTCCGCCATTGTTTGCCCAACAACTAGTGAAAATTTAAAAAAAAAATCATCAAACCTTAAGCAAAGAAAACAATACAATATTAAGAACATGAGAGAAAAGAATGTAATAATATAATATTTTCCTACTTAAATAAATCTATGAGAAGCAAAGTTTTGATGAAATGTGTTAAGTATACCTTGAACAAAACCTTCTTTTATTATTTTATTTCATTTATTTATTTTTTTGGCTTTCAAAAATTATAATATAAATTTTTGACTTTCATCAGACCTAGCATAAGCTAAAGTCAACCAAAACTTAAATTAAGTTAACGTTGCGTTGATTTTTAATATGAATTAATAAAAAAATAAGGGATTTCTTAGTATAAACATAGATAACAACTCAAATTTATTTATTAATTTTGAGTAGCTGAACAGTGATGTTTAAAATGTAGGAAAATAGTGGGTAAAAAATGAAGAATAACGTCCTTTAAAATATAGTTAAAGTTTTAATTTGGGTAAGTAGGTTTATTCTTAGACACAAAACACAAAATAAACTTACAAGATCCATATATTTTTCCCTCAAATTATAATAAAAACCTCCAAAAAAATGATTAAACCATAAAATAAACTAAATTGAAATAAACAATATACATACTTAAAATTGATAAAACAGAAAGTGGAGCTAATTGTAGCACCTTGAGAAGTGAAATCTTTAACAATTTCAGTCTTCAAAAGTTTTAAGAGCAAATAGCATGAGAAAAAGAATGAGAGAGTAAAAAATTGTAGGGATAAAATCATAAAAAACAGGTGAAGCCATGGAGATAAAAAGTGGAGAGAGTTTTAAATTTTTAATATGATGTGGACTTGGAATATACATATTAATAACAAGTTTTTTGTGGGCTTAGACATATGTATAATCATTAGCGGATCCAAAAATTTCGGTTAAGGTTGGTCGAAATAAAAACTAATTGCACATTAATATTTTTGTTAAGGTGGGCCAAAATCCGAAAATTGTATATATCAGTATTTAAAAAAAAAATTGAGGGTGGGCCATGGGCTGGATCCGCCCCTGTGTATAATAATTATCATTTTTTTTAAACTTTGAGGGTAGGCCTGGGTATATATATTAATAACAATATTTTGTGAGTTTATATAATATTAATTTTTTTATTTAAATATGAGGAATGGCCTGGGCCTACCCTCAAAGGGGTTGGATCCGCCCCTGATGGGGGTGGCCATTGAAAGAATTTACCTCGCCGTTTACTTTAAGACCTTTGAAAATTTGTTGAGATATGCGCACAAAACTAGTCTAGACACCTCTTGTCACCCAAAAAAAAAAAAAAAAAAAAAAAAGTTGTGATGAGTTCTCATTAATTTAAAAAAAATATAAAAATTTATTTAAAATACACAAAATAATTATTATTACTTTATAAAAATGTACTATTAAAATTAATAATTTAATGAAAAAGGAAAAAATCTACTATCAATAAGTGTCCAAATTCAAATCCAATGGCAACACCCATATAGAAATAATCAAACGGTGATGATTTTAGAACTGTGAAACAAATAAATCATTAGTTAAATTAATTAAAAAGTTCATTAACACTGTTATGCTACAATTACTCGCAACATCTACAATAAGGTGAATTGGAAAATAAAATAAAATCCTAATATGAAAAAAAACCATATTAATTAACATCCTAATTAATTATTAATAAGAGAATTGTGTTTATTTGAGGTGGCTTGGGTGCGTTGGCTTATTATTTATTCCATATTCTCAAACCGATTATTTAAATAGTGTTCGCTTATTATTCACACAAGTCAACCTTGAAATATGATCCTGACAGGTTTGACTGTAGACATTTGTAGCTTTTTTCTTCTCATTTTTATTTCATTTTCTCACTTCTTCACTACATCAGGGCTTCACCATGTTTACAAACTTGTTTCTTCCATCCAATCTTCTCCACCTGCAAATACCAAACATAACGATATACACTTCTTTCACCTGCACCACCCAAACAATATTCACAGAACCACCCACCACGAATATGTCCACACTATATTCACCATGAACCACCCACCACCCGATCTGTCACACACTAATATCCACCGTGAAAACACCCCCAACAGATCTGTCACCACAATATCCACCGTAACCACAACAAACACCAGATCGTCCCCACGTCGCAGATTTTTTGTGAACCACCACCACCGTGAACCACCCCACAGTAGCAGATCTGTCCCATGTCATAGATTTTGCGTGAACCAACCACCGCACCAGATCTGTCACAGGCGCAGATTTTACATGAACCACCCATAACACCAGACGTCCCACGTCGCAGATTCACCGTGAAACCACACTTGCATGAACCACCCACGTCGCAGATCTGTCTAGAGGGAAAGGTGATTAAGTTTGTCGCAGATCTGTCCAAAATATTCAGGGAAGGGAAGGTCTTGTGTTTTTTTTTTTTTTTTTTTTTTTCTTTTTTTAGGTTATATCGTTGGACAAAACTTTAGGGAAGGGAAAGATGTTTGATTTTTTATTTTTTTGTTTTGCAGGTTATATCTTGTACAAAAGTTTAGGGAAGGGAAAGGTGTTTGATTTTTTTTTTTTTTTTTTAGGTTATATCGTGTACAAAATATTTGCGCATAATCTGTGATTTTATTGCATATCTGTCCAAAATATTCAGGAATGGAAAGAGACCCGCGAAGTACCCAAATCCAGTTTCTGATCTCCATCACCTATTTGTTTTCAAGACACCGGAGACGCAATTTTCCTCATTTTTTTTTATTGGAAATAATTTGTGTTAGTACTGTTTTTTCTTTTCATTAATCATTTTAATTTTGATTGTAATTATGCGTTTTATATTTTGTTGACTCAAACTGATATCTGCACATGCGTCAAAATATTGTGCAGTTTCATATGTTATTTATGTAACATGTTGTATGTTATGGATAACTTTTGGGAGTAAAAAATTATTGGATTATTGGAAATAATTTGTTGGGATTTCACAACTGATATATGTAAATCTAGCTTAGGGTTTGCGAATAAAGCAAAAATGGAGAGAAAAGTGTTTGAATCTTCTTTACTGATGAACTAATTTTTAGTAGCTACAGTGAAGAGTAAACTTTACTCTTTTATACAAAAACGAAGAAGTGTAAGAGTAAAGTCAAAGTGCTGCGTTTTTACAATTGTTTTTATTATAAACAAAAACGACACCGTCTGCAGAATTACATTTTCCTCCTGCTACTTGGCTCTTTTGCACTTTTGTCCTTTGACCAACATCCCCTCTCAAACTGGACACTCTTCTTCTGCTGCTTCAGTAGTCTTTCACGAGCTTTTCTTAGCATTTCTATTCTTGGCATTTCTTTTCAACTTATTGGCCCTTTGACCAACATCCCCTTTGAAACTAAACCTCTAACAAATGATTGCAGTTTTTTTTTTTTTTTTTTTTTTTTTTTATAGAGCAGTCCAACATCAGTTCGTCTCATGCAAATGCAGCAGCTCGTCGCGAACTGGTTGCTACAAACAGCTCGTCTCATGCAAATGCAGCAGCTTGTCTCATGCAAATGCAGTAGCTCGTCTCATACAAATGCAGCAGCTTGTGGCGAACTAGTTGCTACAAGCAGCTCGTCTCATGCATCAGCAGCTCGTGACGAACTGGTTGCTACAAGCAGCTTGTCTCATGCAAATGCAGCAGCTCGTGGCGAACTGGTTGCTACAAGATGCTCGTCTCATGCAAATACAGAAGCTCGTGGCAGATACACAACTCATAGCTCAATTCTGATTAAAAATCCACAACTATAACCAGAATTGCTAACTCTTGATACACAGCAGATACACAATCTATAAAAACTACAAACTGTAATTTCATCAGTTAAGAGTCAGTATGTAGCACAGGGGACTGCAATCAC